GGACCATAGGGAGAGACCACATGGTATTGGTCTGAGGGGGAGACCACATGGTATTGGACCATAGGGAGAGACCACATGGTATTGGACCATAGGCAGAGACCACATGGTATTGGACCATAGGGAGAGACCACATGGTATTGGACCATAGGGAGAGATCACATGGTATTGGACCATAGGCAGAGACCACATGATATTGGACCATAGGGGGAGACCACATGGTATTGGACCATAGGGAGAGACCACATGGTATTGGACCATAGGGAGAGACCACATGGTATTGGTCCATAGGCAGAGACCACATGGTATTGGACCATAGGGAGAGACCACATGGTATTGGACCATAGGGAGAGACCACATGGTATTGGACCATAGGGAAAGACCACATGGTATTGGACCATAGGGAGAGACCACATGGTATTGGACCATAGGGAGAGACCACATGGTATTGGACCATAGGGAGAGACCACATGGTATTGGACCATAGGGAGAGACCACATGGTATTGGACCATAGGGAGAGACCACATGGTATTGGTCCATAATGAGAGACCACATGGTATTGGTCATAGGGGGAGACCAATGTCCGTACATGTTATAGAACCATATAAACTTAAAGAAGGTGAAGAAGAAGGAGCCAAGGCCTGCATTTTTAGGATTCTGACTGTAGTTTGTTCATTGCTATTCACCCGTTGTCCCATTGTCTGTTTCATGGTACGATGACGGGATCTCTGAGCCTGGCCTCTTCCATCTACACCTGCGGACTGCCCCGCCCGACCCGCCTGGGAGTGCTTCAGTCCTGCACCGGACCTGTCCACGTTCAGCGTCCACTGGTCCACGTTCTGTAGCTATAGCTTAGGTCCTGGATCATTAGTCTGTCCGTCCGGAGGAGCGGATCCCTTTCTCATATGGGTCTCCCTCCCTGTGGGTTTCCCTAGTTCTCCTCCAAGGTTTCTCACTTTTTCCCACTGGGTTTTTTAAGAGTTTTTCCTTGTCGATGCAGGAGGGTCTTGTTGGACAGTTAGTGTCCAACAGAAAGGATTGGTGATGATCAGGACACTTTAGCATTCTACAACATGTATGGATATTTTCTTCTGTGTGTGCTTTATACTGTATTCTTCATGTGTTTTAACTGTTGATTCTCTGACCTGTGTTGGTGATTTCAATGGTTTTGTTAAGTCCTCTGAGATGACTTCTGTTGTGACCTAGGGCTATACAAGAATAAATTGTATTGTATTGTATTGCAGAGACGAGTGATTTCATGATATAATGTTTTCACTTATTTTATTTACTCTATGAATCTGGTCGTGTCTATTCTTATTTGAAAACACACGATCACTCGACTACATTTGGGGTTTAGGGACATTTCCCCACAAGGTTTTCCAAATTGCATCTTTAAGGCTTAATGAGGAATAACAGTACGATTGTCACTTACAGTCAACTCTGAGGAAGTCGTTGAGCAGCTGGAAGAGAGGGAAACTGTCCCAGGAGTCGGGGGGCTGCACCTCCAGAGCAGCGTCCATGTCCACGGCGTAGAGGCACAGGAAGGTCTCCGCATGCTCCACCATCAGGTCCGACCACCACGCAAAGGCCTTCAGACAAACTCGCAGTTAGACGTTAGGAGCGATACATAACAGACACGTGAAAACTCTGAAACCAAACTCTCAGATTTCAGAACACGTTTGGGTTTTGCCCCAAAGTGGACGGAGGGCTGCACTTTCTTATTTGACTCTATAATTATGTATATTTCATTTTTTATTTAACACACATGAAGATATCCAGTGTTTTCTTTGTGAAAATTTTGTTTTCATTAATGAGAACAGAGTAAATGTGTAACAGGCCATGGTAGCACGTGTAAAGTCACAAACCTTAATTAATATTCTAATGAGTAGTGAGTTTAGAAATGGACCGGGCCGCACAGGAAGGTGGATTGGGCCGTGTGTGGCTCCCGGACCGCACTTTACCCAGGTCTGTATTAGACTGTACATATTATTAATGGACAGATCTAACTCGCTAACTTTCTAAATGCTAATATGGAAGTGCTCTTGTGTCTTCGGCTAGCTAAAAACAGTAGGAAGTATGAACACACCTCTTCACTCCTGATTGGCTCTTTGGTTGCCAGGTAGTTACCAGGAGAGAATTTAGCACCAGAATCCCGCCATGGAGCATGTTAGCACTAGTTCTCAGCAGCTTCTTTCAGTCAAAGCCAAACTCTACGACGTCAGCACTCACTCTGTCCACTGGGGGCCGCTGTGGGATGGCTCTTGTGCAAACTGTTGGTGTGTCCTTAGGCCAGACACCTCAACCACATTGTCTTTTATGAATGGTGCATGTGTGAAATATAGTCGGGGATTGCAGATTTTAACTCATGTGAAATTGGATCCCTCGTTTCCATGGAGATGCCATTGTTTTGAATAGATTATTTTACACTATTGCACAAAAATCTATGTTTATTTGCCATTCCAAGTCATATGTGCAGAGAACACCCCATCATTGAGGACTAAAGAAATATCTGTATCTTTGTCATGGTGTGTTTAAATTAGTACTTTTTTTTTTTTTTCTAACTTCAGTTCTGTGGTTGATTTGTTTGTGCTGTTTTAGTTTGACTTCCTGTTCCCCTGTCTGCCCCGCCCTGATGTGTTTCACCTGTGTCATTGGTACTGTCCCAATACTCGCACTTCCACCTCGCGCCCCACATTTGTGCGTTCCCGATGATGGGTGCGAGTGCGTAGGGTACAGTCCCAATTCTCCAGGGAGGTCTTTGGCCCCACCCACACTTAGCTGTAGCCTGCATCTAAGCGGACTCTGGCGAAGGATATTGCCTATAATTCTTTGCGGTACACACCAAAAAGTCGGGCAAATGCATTTAAGTGTAAGTTTTGAAATATATATGCTGTATGTGTGTAAATAAGTTGTGCTGTTACTTGGAAAGAAGCATAAATGTCTGATGAAGAATTACGGACCTTCTATGCAAACAATTTCATAACTTTTTTAAAGCAAGCATTTATATAACATTCAATTTAAACTTTACACTTAGAAAAACAAACTTAGGATGTATTAAAATTGACCAGATAACAATTAGTTACCCACATTTAACTTAAAATTATACAGCTATCTCAAATTACGAATAACCAATATACATGTATTTCAACGTGCGTGGAGCAACTCATTTTGTTTCCCACAGGGTCAGACAAAATGAAAGTTTAGGTCTGAGGATTACCATCTCTTGACGAGTCGATGACGTCACCTGCACTGTCCCAATTCCGCCTTTTTTGCTGTAACCTGCCACTCAAACCTGTGCACTTCAAACAAATGCACACTTCGTAGAGGAGTGTAGGCTGCAGTGTGTGAGACAGGGCCCAAATCATTTGTACCTGTGCTCCTCTCCCCTCTTTACTTTGTTCCTGGTTGAGTTTTGGATTTAGAATTTGTTTTTTACCTCAGACTTTAGTTTTCCATCATTAAATCATTTTTATTTTTGCATTCCTTCGTTTTGAGTCATCCATTCACATCACCCTCATGACATCCTGGCTTATACTAGGTTAGTAAAGTCTTGCAGTCGAGTAATTTTTGGATTTGTTGTGGAAATTGCTATGGGTCAAGAACAAGGGTGGGAAATTATTTTCTTTGAGGGGCCACATTGGGATTTGGGCCAATTGTGAAGGTCTAATTTCACGCGGTTTATCTTATCGGTATGAAAACCTCTTTTTGTTGAGTGCATATTATTACTAAACTTATATTGGGTTCAATGGTAAGAACAGAATAGTGTACATTGCTGCACATTGTAAGTTACAAGCCTTCACTATAAGCAACAGACTGGTTTGAGGTTACCGGCTGGGAAGGGTCCAAGGGCCGCATACAACAGGGAATCGGGCCGGATGTGGTCCCCGGGCCGCACTTTTCCTAAGTCTGTTCTAAAACTAATCTGCTTATGTGTAAAAATAATCAATGAATCTTCTTGTGAAAATTAAAATGACGGCTATTGTAAATGACCTTTTCCTTTTGATTTCATGTGATGCACTTGGATAAAGTTGCTAACGTCTGCTACGACTGCATTTGGGTAGAATTTCATTTCAAATATGAAAAGAAAGTCACACACTTATCTCCATGAGTCTACAGCTGAGCTTACTGGCATGAAATAACATCCAGACGAGCCGATGGTGCTCTAATACTCTCACTCTTAAAAGGACCTGGGCTCTTCCGTCGTTTGATAAATTCAAGATGTGCCTCTAACTGATCCCCGGGGACTGCGCAGTGTGGAGAGGGAGCAGGGAGGACAGGACTTGGGCACGCAGACTGCCACTCTTCAGAGGGAGCAGCCGGCCTCCTGTAGCCTCCTGTAGACTGGTTATCATGCACAGCGAAACACAAGTACTCCTGTGGGCGGTCAACAGGGCCCCAGAGCAGCCGCGGGGGGAACTCATTCACATCAAGCCCCAACACTGTAATGTGAATGCACCCAGGAGCCGGATCAAGGCCCGCTGGAGGGTCACATGCATTTGCTGCAGGGATCTCAGCAAAGGGACACAGGCCAGAATATCCATGTGTTGTGTGCCACATGTAACTGGGTCCAGAATGATTTTTATTTGTAAAGAGAAAGGAGGCGCACGCAACATTTAGCTTTGCACTATTTAATCTTTACATGTTTTGTCAATAATGCGCTGGTTCAAATTCATCTTTCCACAGATTGTATTGCTTTATTGACTGTATGTTTTATCATGTCATGTTTGAGGACTTTGAGGAATGTAGAAGTGTGGTCATAATCAATATCTAGAGTTCTCCCCAAGAAAATAACAATAATTAAAGTGTTTGTGTAAGATCTCAGTCGTACCGAGATTATTCAAGACAAAGGAAGGTTGCTCACCCATCAGACCACTATATCGGAGAAACTAAACAAACTCTACAAACACGGCTTTAAAAACATCGTAGGGAACATTCGAGTGGGCCGCAATCAGCTGTACATCTCCATCTCAAGACCACCAACCTCACCGTGAACGACAGAGGTTAAAATTCTGTCTGGAGACAAAAATTGGTTTGAGAGAGAAGTGAAAGAAGCTATTTTGTGAGGAAATATAAACCATCTCTAAACTGAGGAGACGGGTTAAGATTTGTTTTGTCGTGCCTCTCTGACGACGTCCAAACAACAACACCCAAACAATAAATAAGGTCAGTGACAAGTTAATGAGGTAGGATCATTAGACCTGCACTCCACCCGAGCAATCTCGGCAGGAGAATAGATCAGTGGCATGCTAATGAGGGAGGATCATTGGACTTGCACTCAACCGAGCAATCTCAACTGGACAATAGTGGCATGCTAATGAGGGAGGATTGTTAGACCAGCACTCCACCAAGAAATCTCAGCAGGACAATATTGACATGCTAATTAGGTAGGATCATTAGACCTGTACTCCACCTGTGCAACCTCAGCAGGACAATAGTGACATGCTAATGAGCTAGGATCGTTAGACCTGTACTCCACCTGTGCAACCTCAGCAGGACAATAGTGACATGCTAATGAGCTAGGATCGTTAGACCTGTACTCCACCTGTGCAACCTCAGCAGGACAATAGTAACTTACTAATGAGCTAGGATCGTTAGACCTGTACTCCACCTGCTCAATCTCAGCAGGACAATAGTGACATGATAATTAGGTAGACCCAACAGGATCGTTAGACCTGCTCCCAACTACATCATAGCAGACCTTAGATATGTTAACGCATTAGCCTCAGGATCAAGGTCTAACCACACCCACAGGTTAACTCCCGGCTGAGCTTTCATTCCCTTGAGAAAGTTCTTTGGATAAGAACAAAACATTGAGAAAAACTTCTGACTGAAGTACAGATGATGGGCGAGCTTCTTTTGTTTTGAATAATTAAAGTGCCAATAACATTCTCCCTGATGTTGATTCAAACTGAGCCGGGTGCTCTATTGTGTTTTACTGTGACTTTTTGTATAACCTTTCGTAAGGATGTGAAATTGGATATTAGGAATCATTTGGAATCTAATTTTGTCAACAAATAAAACATACAGTTTTTAATGATCTGTTTGACAACTGCGTGACATGTTGTTGTTTCCTCCTTTGTTTAAGCGTACATGATTTGTAGAATAAAAGTGTAAATTACATTGAAGCACACAAGGATTCCACCAGCGTCAGAGCGGTGCTGTAACCTCTGAGGATGGTGTCATAGGGAGGGGCAGAGACCGGGATGGTGAGGAAGCCCACTTTTTGCAATGTGCACATGGTTCAATCCATTCTCCAAAGTCACATTTGCGTCAAAGTAGTGAAGATGGTCAAGTGTAATGGGTGAAATATGCGCTGAGAAAGGCCATTTTGAAGAAGGGGTTGTCTCAGAGAGTATACTCAGTTATAATTGAATATCTCATCTCAATCATCATGATTGGTTGTAATTGTACTTTAACCCTTTGATGGTTTTTCTCACCCGTTTGTAGATAGATTACTATACAATTTATTCTTGTATAGCCCTAAATCACAACAGCATCATCTCGGAGACGTAACAAAACCATTGAAATCACCAACACAGATCAGAGAATCAACAGTTAAGACATAAAAAAGAATATAGAACACATGTTGATAAATGTCATACATGTCGTAGAATGTTAAAGTGTCCAACAGACTCCTGCATCGGCAAGGAAAAACTCATAAGAAAAACCCATTGGGAAAAATGTGGGAAACCTCGGGGAGACCCACATTTAGAGAGGGATCCGCTCCACACGGACAGACTTCAAATAGATTTGAGTCAGATCTATTTGAAGCTTCGATCTGAAATCTACCTCTTTGGGGCATCTCACTTGGTTTGAGGCACTTTTGACATGGATCTATAATAATATTTGGATAGAGTATTACTAGCTTATATCTGTCCCACCCATGGGCACAGGGGGCGCTGTGGTACTGCAGACTAAATGCACGTTCTATCCATAAAAATGTCCCATAGAAGTCAATGTACAACTAAAACAGCTCGACCTCAGCTGACAGAGAACCTCACAGAGAACCTGACAGAGAACCTACAGCTTTCATGAAGGTTAGATTCTGAGGGGATTTTAGTGTCCCTTGTCATCCTGAACTTTTTTTCTTCCTAAATCTTTCGGTTTTCTATAACAAACTCTGCTCGTTTGTCTCCTGCTCTGACTCCCGCTCTGATCAGCAGCTCTAATTGGTCAGAACATGGCCTAGCCCCTCTGTGCACGTGCATGAGAGCCACACACATATATTTAGCGCAAAGCATCATGGGAGCTCATCCACTGCGCAGAAACGGGAGGACCAGACGATGCCCAAATATGGACGAGTTCCGCTAATCTTTCAGTCCCAGTGGTGGCACCTTTAAATAGAACGCCATCTTGGATCTCAGGGGCTTGCTTTTTTATTGCTCTTATTAGTGCTTTCCTAAATCAAACAAAATACATGTCTTTCTTATCGAGTGAACATTAAAGGGTTAAATACAACAAATATTGGTGCAGTCTTTCTTTGACTATTGGTTCTTTCTACACACTGAGACCCCCACATCTTCAAACAGGAGTTTTCTCAACACAAAAACAAGGCTCAGAGCTTGTTTCATCCCAGCAGATGGACGGGCCGCTCCTCAGAGTCACTGCCAAAGCCTCAGGGCCCGTCTACTGCACAGTTTTGTAAAGGGTCAGAGCTGTCAGTGTTTCCATGTTTCCACTGAACGGAACACTAGATGTTGGGTTCGAAACACAGTTAGAAAAACAGAAACTCGTCCTAAATTCATGGGAAGTAAATGTTGGATTGTTGCCGCTCGGTGGAAACATGTCATGAGAGCATGCGCGCCGTGTTGTTTGGACATGGGTCTGACATGACTAAAACTGTCACATACCTCTTTTCCCTGTTCACATAAACCATTAAAAACAGAAGCAGAGCAGGTGAATACAAATATCACAAAACCAATGGAAAAACACAGACACCGTTTATGAGATTGATTCAACGTCTTCATAGTTAAAGGCTGGTGGTGACGTCTTGGCAAATGTTCAATAAACATGTTCTGCACACATGAGACCAATGAGATCAGCAGGATCTCTGAGCCGCAGAAAACACATAAAACATCAATATTCTACATTTATAAAGACATCAGCGTCTGCGTGCTGTTACTGTCATTTCTGATTTGAACATCTCTGCAGGGCACAGACAAAGCAATTGTTCCAGAATCTCATTTTGTCTGAAACTCAACTCAAAATTGTACAAAGCAGGGGTTCTCTGGTGCAACACCATCCACATGTGTATCAAAACACACCTCTGCAAATGTCTGACTATTATTCAGTGCTTATGAACATCTCATTCTTCCTGAGGAGTGACGTTTGTACGTTTGCAGTTTGCAGTGTGTGTGTTTTGTTTGGAGCTCAGGCCTCACCTCAGCGTGATGCTCTTCGTTCTGCTGCAGCACCTCGATCACCAGCTCCGACAGACGAATGTTGTCCTCCAGTTTTTTGGCAGGAGTGACTAACCGTCCTACATTCTCTGGAGCACAGAGTGCAAAGGTCAGTGAAGACATCAGAATACTCTGATACTTCTAGATGATTGCATGCATAGTACAAATACAAACACTGCTCAAATGTTTTACACTTAGATTCATAAAACATTGTTTTAAATATTCAAAACCATCAGAAAAATCTTATTGTTTCTGGAAATGCAATGCAAGGCTTATTTCTGAAATGACATAGACGTGCAGGGTTTAAGCTAATGTTTGGAGTGTATCATGGCTACAGAAAGAAACACAAACAGTAAAATGTTGTAACATTCCACACAATGACACTGCAGGAGCAGCTGTAAACGCACACACATGCGGCTGTCTCCTTCATGCTGGGCTCTGTTGGTTTGATTTCACTGTGATTTTCACTGGGAAATGTTTGCTCTTCAAATCAACTATAGTTGGCACAAAGTAACGACCAACGCAGAGAGCAGATTGTGACTAGAGGTCTAAAGCAGCAGTTTGTTCACTGAATCAGCAGTGAAAAACACTGTCATCATGGCATCATGGCCACACAACATTGTAGACATTCCCTGTTGTGCATCGGAGGTCTTGGAATGTCCCGGGATGTTGTGGGAGGCTCTGGGGCATGGCTAAGTGATAGTTGGGTTTTCTCAGTCGTGTCTGACGGATCAGAGATTGTGTGTCCAGTTCCACTGACGTCAATTAACAAATCAACGTGGATGAAAATATGATCTAAAACAATCATAGCAAGAAAATAAATGAGACAACTGCTGATTGAAGCAAAGGAGAGTCAGAGCACAACCAAAATGTTATAAAACGTTTTGGGTTTTTTTTGGGTATTTTGTGCTTTTTTATTGATCCACTCAAAAGTGATGGCCGTGAATGTATTCAAATAAAACTTTGCGACTGGAGGACGTGGCGCTTGTAGAGGACGATATTTTGATCACACAATAATAACTAAATTGATGACAACACAAAGAAAACCCAACTATGACTTTAGAAGAACTGGATGCTTTGGTTAAACATGAGTCAGCGTAAAGTTAGACAAACAGTAGTATCACCTGGAGACGCCACTTTAAATAACTCTTTCCTCTAAGAGAGTTTAAAAACGAACAGAGTTTAGTCAAAAGCAGATAAATACACATGAGAGGGGAGAAAACACACATGTTATCATTCATAGATGTTTCTGTAAATATGGGTCACTCCGGCACCACCAGGGGGCGTATGTACACATTAGGATAGACTGCGTTACAGCCTTTGGAGATGGTAGAGAGTGGGATGAAACCTCAAATACATTCACATTAGAACAGGGGCGTCAAACTCACTTTGGTTTAGGGCCAAGCTAAAAAACATAAGAGCAGGTTGGGGCCAACATTGGGGGAACAGGCCTGAGTTTGACATGTCTGCATTAGCACGTCTGAGCCTCAAGCCTCATCTAAAACGGCCGATACTTTACGATACAAGTTACTAGCAAATACACACATAACCAGTGGGCTGTACGTACGTCTGAGTCGGTTCATCACATCGATCGACAGGTTTTACACAGAAGCAAAGTAAAAATGCATTCAAGTGGCACACAGACAAAAGGACAGAAGCCTGGAGCGTCCCGAGTGCGGCGCTGACACCACGCGGAGACAGCGCGGTGGCGGTGGCGGTGACGGTCGCGGTGACGGTCGCATGCGGCTGGAAGAGAGAGCACTGACAGCGAGGGAGGTACTCACGAATGGTTAAATCCATCACTTGAGACGCCAAGCAGAAGACAGGGTGCTCGTACATTTCTCTCTTTTTCCCTACAGAGAAAGAGGGAGAATACCGAGGCATGCGAGAGGCCGGGTCAGAGCCCAGAAATATAGTGCACAAAGCTTCATGTCAAAGTAGGAAACCAGCAACAGGGATTTGATGGTGCGCACTGGGGTTTTGGCACGTGTATTCCAATGGGGTTTTACTGCAAATGGGAAATGAACTGAATCTGAAAACATGTATGCAGCACTGAGATCTAACTCGAAGGAGCACAGGGACTGGCCTCCTGCTGGGAATCTGAGGAGCACAGGGACTGGCCTCCTGCTGGGACTCGGAGGAGCACAGGGACTGGCCTCCTGCTGGGACTCGGAGGAGCACAGGGACAGGCCTCCTGCTGGGACTCGGAGGAGCACAGGGACAGGCCTCCTGCTGGGACTCTGAGGAGCACAGGGACTGGCCTCCTGCTGGGACTTGGAGGAGCACAGGGACTGGCCTCCTGCTGGGACTCTGAGGAGCACAGGGACTGGCCTCCTGCTGGGACTCGGAGGAGCACAGGGACTGGCCTCCTGCTGGGACTCGGAGGAGCACAGGGACTGGCCTCCTGCTGGGACTCGGAGGAGCACAGGGACTGGCCTCCTGCTGGGACTCTGAGGAGCACAGGGACTGGCCTCTTGCTGGTCCCAGACTCAGGACTAAACATGGGGAGGCAGCGTTTCGATTTATGTTGCTGAAATTGGACTTCCTGAATAAAAAAATGAGGCCAGGGTAAATCCAGGGTAAAAAACCATGCTGTTGTGCACACAATTGCTGGGTTGCACGTGACATCACGCAGCGGCGCTCCGAGGGACAGGAAGTAAATCTCCCCATTAAGAACTATGTAAAAATGCACTGATTCAGAGTAAAAATTCTCTTTTTCTGTGGCGTGTGCAGTTGTGGCAACTGTTCTTATCAAGTGGGGAACTTATGGAGTCTCTATTTTGCTAAAATGTATTTCACTAACGGGTGTCAATTTTTTGGAAAATGCCTAATAAGGAATGGAAGAAATGCGTTAGCATCTGCATTAGCCTCAATAGCATCTGCGGCCGCAGACAAAGCTAACAGTCCGCGGTCTCTACTTAGCTGACTTTCATTGATACAATGCAGTATTTTTGTGTAGTATATGGTTGTAGTAACCGAGGGAACAGAGAGAACTGTTAAATACATTTTTAATGCCAAAAGTTGTCTCAAACCAACATGTACATGTGTAACAAAGCTAATTGTAGGCTTTACAATCAGTCTTCTCACATATATTCTCGTCATTGTGTTACAAGAGTCATTGTTCATCGTTATTTCCACGACTGCGACGGTGAGGACCAGGGTAATGTCTGAAGTTGTAGCCGAGCTTTGTGCCCCCAGGACGGCTGCGTTCGTAGCAGCCCCCGCTGTTAGCTTACTGCTGTTAGCTTACTGCTGTTAGCTTACTGCTGTTAGCTTACTGCTGTTAGCTTAACGCTGTTAGCTTAACGCTACGGAGCTCCCCCCAGTCCGAACTTTTTGTTGTTTACAGCTCAACAAATCACCAAAATGACAATAAAGGGTCATATTTCTCGATTCAAATGCTTCTAAAGTAACATTTGTGCCATAGTTATTGTATTACTGATCAGAACTATCATCTCAGACGTGGTTCTGTTGATAGAAGAGTGACGAGCTCCACTGTCGTCTCTATAACAGCCTTAATCCTCCTCATTGTTGAAAAAATTGGACTCATTCAAACTCTACAAGGCGTACGCTGCACTAAAATAGTTTTCACTAAAAATAAGAGTGATACTAAGCCGCGAAAAGCTTCTGTGTGTGCGTTTTCCCGCATCTCCCATTCTATTTAATAGGAGAAAAATACTTCCTGTCCTACGGCCCCATGTCACGCCCCCTTTTGGTCACGTGGTTGCAACCCAGCAATTCCCTACAGTGTCTTGTCAATTTTTTGTTTTTTTGTATAGACCTGAATAATAAAGGCAAGACATCTACTTCTCAATTGTTTTGCCTTCAATGTTTCTGATGAACACGATGCAGAGTTTAAATCCCGTGAAGGCGGGACACTGGGAACTCTGTGTTCTCTGATGTAGACTTCTAACTTTGATTGTGGGTCAGGGACATTTTCCTTAAAAGGTGCTATTTTTAAAGTTGCTCCATATTAAAAAAACATGTCGAACCAAAACAAATGTTTGGCCTTTTAAAGAATATTCACCATGTTCTTGAATTGTCATAGACTTAGACTTGGACTTATAAATGTCCATGCTCCATCTTGAAATACAGAGGTTGATAAAGGACAAAAGGAGGTTTGAGCGGGAGTTGGGGACCACTGTCAAAGACGGCTTTTTGTCCTGAGAAGCCACCGTAGTACCGTAGATTACCATACATCATCTCAATGCTAGATGGAAGTAAAAACTACAGAGTGTACCTTCAAACAAACAAAAAGCCAATAGTTGTTTCCCAATCTCCAGTTCACGTACCGTACACTTCATTACAAAGACCATAGACACAGCTTTGTGTTTTAACAGAGGCAGGGGCAGAGGCAGAGGACAGAGGCAGAGGCAGAGGCAGAGGCAGAGACAGAGACAGAGACAGAGACAGAGACAGGACAGAGACAGAGGCAGAGGACAGAGGCAGAGACAGAGGCAGAGACAGAGGCAGAGACAGAGAACAGAGGCAGAGACAGAGGCGGAGGCAGAGACAGAGAACAGAGGCAGAGACAGAGGCAGAGGCAGAGGCAGAGGACAGAGGCAGAGGCAGAGGCAGAGGCAGAGGCAGAGGCAGAGACAGAGACAGAGACAGAGACAGAGACAGGACAGAGACAGAGGCAGAGGACAGAGGCAGAGACAGAGGCAGAGACAGAGGCAGAGACAGAGAACAGAGGCAGAGACAGAGGCGGAGGCAGAGACAGAGAACAGAGGCAGAGACAGAGGCAGAGGCAGAGGCAGAGGACAGAGGCAGAGGCAGAGACAGAGGCAGAGACAGAGGCAGAGACAGAGACAGAGACAGAGGCAGAGACAGAGGCAGAGACAGAGGACAGAGGCAGAGGACAGAGACAGAGGCAGAGGACAGAGGCAGAGGCAGAGGACAGAGGCAGAGGCAGAGGCAGAGGCAGAGACAGAGGACAGAGCAGAGGCAGAGGCAGAGGCAGAGACAGAGACAGAGACAGAGGCAGAGACAGAGGCAGAGACAGAGGCAGAGACAGAGGACAGAGACAGAGGCAGAGGACAGAGGACAGAGACAGAGGCAGAGACAGAGACAGAGGCAGAGACAGAGG